TAATATGTGTACCGATCTTGTATGATAGTTGATGAATTGATATTTATTGATAATTCACATTCATAAGACGAATCATTGAAGAAGATTGATTCATGTTTAACTAAATCCTTATTTCGTTTAGTAAGAGCAGAGTAAACAATTAGTTTTCTATGTATAATCCTTGTAAACATATTATGTAACTTATAGGCAATGTATGTATTCCTCGTTTTGCCCTTCTGAGATGTTATTCTGTTTACTAAAAATTTGAAAATATTTAGCATTAATGCTTAACAAAACATATTTATGTTAGACTATACTCATGTAAATAAAATCACAGTTTTTTTTAAAGGTTCTATTGTCTAATTCTTAATGGGATGTAGATCCAAATTGAAAATAGTGCATAATGTGTTAGAACTTTGAATTGGTTGGGTAGCAAGTATTATGCACTATTTTGGCCCATGATCAATGTGGGAAGGTCATTTTTTACTCTTGGATGAGTTGGATGAGGATTTTCTCCAATTTTGAGCCTTCTTAAGTCAAGTAAATCCTAGTTCCCAATTTGGAGAGAATGAGAGGCACAAAATTCTTAAAGAGAAGAGTTTGGAGTTGGAGATTCTTGAAAGATGCTTAAGAGAGATTCTTGGAGAGTTGAAGGCTTGAAGTTCATCTCCACAAGAGTTTTCTCTTCCTTCTCCTTTTTCCTTTTCCTTGTAATTTTTTAGTTTTTGTTCTTGAATTTGTAATTTTGGCTATGGATTTCTCTATGTTGAGCTAGATTATTATTCTAAGACTTGATATAACCTTGTTTGAACCACGTTTTGAATATTTTGTCAATTGTTAGTTTAAATTCCATCTTAATTTATTTATTTTTCTCTATGCTTAATGTTTCTAATTTATGTTGCCAATGAGTTAGATAATTTTAGATTGTGATTTTGATGCTCGAGAGAGATTGATTTCATAGTTTAGAATTGGGAAACACAGTCTAGGTTGTTGTGAGTTTGGGAGGAGATCGACACTTAGATAATCTCATTAAGAGTCTTGGATATTGTGAGACCGAGAGGTGATCAAGTCTTTGATTATCAACTAGGATTTCAGTTGTTGTGAGGCTGAGAGGCGATCGACAATTTATTTCTGATTTAAGGGCTAAACTTACTGAATGTGTAGGTAGATGGGTTAGATAGAGATATTTGACGAGAACATTTATGCATATTATCTCATTCGACACTCGAGAGAGGTAATGAGGTTACTTCTGAACCCTTGATTAATGAATTGAGTGGAATTGACTTGATAGGATGTACATATGAATGATAAGGTGAAGTAAAGTCCCTAGTACATTCATGCTTAGAAGTTTTCATATTTTATTTTAGTTTCGTATCTATATTTGTTCTACTTCTATCCTAATTTCATTTAGTTCAATTGCCTAGATAAAGTTGAGTTACAATAATTGTGATACTTAGCGGTAATTTAATACCCAATCTTTGTGGAGATGATACTTACTCACTCTTTAGTCTTTACTATCAAAACTTGACACCGTATGCTTGCGGGCGAACACCTCTTCATCCCCTTTTGAAGCTATTAGGAATAGACAAGGAAGACAATTTACGTTCATGTTTTGATGTTTTTAAATTTTTCCGCTTATGTGTCGGTTATTACTTTTGGGTTCAGTTTGCAATATGTTAAGAATTTTGTTTTTATTATGGCACTTTTGATTTTGGTCTAAATTTGTAATGAACTTTTGCTCTATTTTTATTTTAAGTTGGTATAATTTTGAAATATATAGTCCTATATGAAGGGGAATCAAGCAGGTATAGGGAAGGCTCCCCCAATAAAAAATCTCTGATTCTGCCTCTTTTTAAGCGGAGATGGAGACTAGAATAGGGATATTTTAGGGGCGGAAATGAGAATGGAAAACATCCTCCACCCCCCCCCCCCCTCTTTTTTTTTTTTTTTAATGAAAGGATATCAAAAATATCTTTGACATAAAAGTGTGAAATATACTCCAATCCGTAAAATATTATTTCTGATGTTATACCAACTTTTTATAGATTTAGGAGACATTTGGTTCATGGATTAGAATCATGAAATTAGAACCATTTTCGATTTACGTGTATTTTTTGTGAGAGAAAACATTGTAACGAACCACGAATCATGATTCAAATCGGGATACGAATCCCCCAACCAAACAACTCCTTAAAGTTTAAAACTTCTAAAAGCAACTTTTAGACGTTGAATAATCTAAAAATACAATATTGTAATTATTAAATAAAAAAATTAACACTTCAACTAATAATGATCAACCATCAAAGTTTGAGAGATAACTTGGCACTAAATGCGGCATATGTGTTGTGAAAATTGTAAGGGTGTAATATCACTTATAAGTAATAAAGTGATAAATAAAGTATTATTCCTACAAAAATTATATTAATTTTAATTAAGTAACGAAATTAGTTACCTCTAAAATTATTTGTATGACCGAATAAATGAGAATAGAAATAAAATAAATAAACATAATATAATAGAAATAAAATAAATAATTGAAACACTAGAGCATCTGATTTTACTATAGCTAATTCACTTTAATTCCCTAATTCTTATTATTTATATTTATTATTCAAATTGATAGTCAAAAATCTCTAATTTATTCAATGTTCTCTTCTGAGTTACACTAAAAATCTCCTCAATTATTAACCCACTATATTTTTATGTGAATTGCAACAATCAAGCAGTCATTAAGTTTCGTGAATTTTTATGTAACGACCATACAAACCATGTAAGTATATTTCTATCTCACATGCAATTTATGGCATTCAACACAATGAACTCGACATATAATTTCCCTTCTAATTCTATTATAATTAGCTGATCATCTAATCAGTAACTAATTAATTAAAAGCATTAAGAACAATGATGAACACTCAATCTTGAAAATAAAAATAAATAACTTGAATAAAAGAAATTAAACTATTATAGTAAGGCTCAGAGCTCTAGCAAAATAAAACAAATTAAGAGTTTCAATGGTCTCGTTCATTTTACCGATTCGAGTTTTCAGTTTTAGGTTTTTACAGTAAAAAACTCTCAGAAAATGTCACATCTAACTTTTTCTGCTACAGTGAAAAGCTCTCAAAAAATGTCACATCTAAACTCAAATTAAAAACTCGAATCTGCGAAGTGAACGATGCCAATATCTCAATTCACAAAAATACAGAGATAGAAAAATCAAAAAGAAAAACCATATAAAAGTGTCACCGATCTCTAAAATTGACTCTCTAATCTTCAATCTCCAATTATTCAGTCTTCAAAATATTTTCTCCCTTTCAAAATCTAAAACCTAGAAATAAAAATCCTAAATAAAATAAATCCTAAAGAAATACCCCAAATTCTCCAAAAATAAATTCCCAGATGTTTTCTCAATTAGCTCTCCAATAGGGCTCTGTCATTATGTTTGGGTAATCTTTGTTCAAGACTTTGTGCGCAGGGGTTCTCTTCTCCAATTGCGGCTTAAAAGGCTATTTAAATAGCCTCCAAATAACGTCAAAAGAAGCCACAGATGACAGATTTTATAGTCAAGCTATGGATCACCACCGGTACCCCTTACCATCGCACGTGGCAAATGCGGACAGTCATGTTGGCTAATGTCGCTACCATTCAACTCTTTTTGTGGGCCCCAATTTTCCGTACATCCCATACTTGTTAACCCTTTGCCTTCTTCCTCTCTGTCCTCCAATAGCCACCGCAGCCCCGTCATCTTCTAGGCCGTTGAAAGCGACTGGACACTGTCACTACCCAGCTGATAGCCTTCCTCACTGTGCATCATGCGCTCCAGTTCATTCGCGTGCATCATTTCTATCGGCCAGCCGCCCACGCTTTACTCTACCAAATTAAATGCTGCCACGTGTCCTCCTGCATCAGGTGCCCTAACATTTAATTCACTCCTTTTTTCTTTTTTCTTTTGTTTTTTGTTTTTTGTTTTTTTACTTCGTATGCATACATTAAAAGAACAACATAGAAAAACATATGAATACCTCAATATAAATTACAAAGATGTTGTAATAGCATGAACAAATGATTGTGGTTGTTAAGACTCTTCTCCACGTCCTCCAAACATTAAGCCCTTCTTCATGTTTCCACAAGAAGTCTTGATGAATGGAAGAACATGCCTCTTGATTGTTTTACGAAAGAGAACTAGAGAGAAACTTTTGAACAAACGACAAAAAACAATGAAGATAATATAAAAGAAAGATTTTAAGGAAAAGGAAAATGGTCTTAAATCTGAGATTAGAGGGCAGAGGAGTATGAAAACAGAAGAAAAGGATCTAATAGGAAAGAGCAAAAACGACAAGGTGACCAAAAACCATGGAAATTGAAAACCTCCAAAGTGAATGGTAAGAGAAGGCTTTGGAAAACAGGAGAAAGAATCCAGTTTCACTATAAAAAGTGGAATCTCCAGGTAAGTCAAAAAATAAGACATTAAAGAATTTTGTCACTCTTATAGAAAGATTGGAAGTGATTGTAGGTATAACTTTGTCACACATTAATCTTTCAAATTTGACTCCTTGTTAAGGTGTTGAGTTCAAATTGCCACATTCTAAAATTTAGGGAAAAAAAAAAAAAAAAAAAAAAATTATAAGGGTCTAAAATTCTGTCACTCCAAAAGTCCCGTAATTAAAAGGTCAACAAAATATGTTATCCCTTGGATGATATATCAGATTAACTTCGGTACCAAATTATGTAGCAAAATCAACAGTACCACCGGCGAGAAAAGATCACCGGAATAAGGAGAAAGGATAGAAATACTCTTTAAAAATACATGAGTCTGAATTTTTACCTTTTATTCTTGATTAATATCATTTTTAATGAAATAACTATATTAGTAAAAGGATATTAATAAAAACAAAAGTACAAATCTAGATCCATACACTCTTAAAGGTAAGTTCAACAATTTTCTACCAGAAAAAAAAAATCTATTAGAATTACCTATGAGATTATGTCACTCTTTTTTTTTTTTTTTTTAGTGTCGCCCAGCTGACATTGCTACTCAAATCGATTACCACTAGTAATCTACAGCATTTTGATTTTATTTTTGCTACTCAAACGTAGGAGTTAATTCAGTAAAGACCTGCCAAAAAGGCTCGCCTCATATGAGAGGTTACATCAGGAACACAAAAGTAACCGAAGGCAATACAGTTTTAAGCCAATGACTTATTTCATGGGCACACCTATTACAACTCCTACGAACCCAAAGATAAAGTAATCTTACATATAGAGACCCATAGGAAATGGCAATCATTATTATTATGAAAGACATACATATAAACTTTGAGCCTTTCCACATCACACGTACAGCCCCTCCGTGTAATCCACCCCAGTGGACTCTAACCAAGGACCGCCTTGTATCAGCTCCACCACTGTGAACTTTTGGGCCTCATCTGGGCTGGTAATTACATGATAACCGACCCACTTCACCCTCTTGCTAGTTCCAGCACCTGGGCCTCTATTTGCATACTCCCCATAGTATAACGTATTCAGTGCAAAATCCCCGTCCCACTCGAACCACCCAGCTGGATCAATAAGGTCACCAATGTAAGACTGCATAACAACAGTCCTGGAATACTCCTTCCACGGACGGCCCAAATACGACGGGAACGAGTCCTTAACGGGCTCAAGATCTGGGCTGGCAAAGATTTCGCAATTGTGGATCGAGGTCCCGGTGTTTTGGTTTGGGTCGGTTCGGCCTTGGGCCGTTACCATGTTTTTCTGGCCCGTCATGCCCTTTCGGGGAATAATTTTGCAGCGCTGGAGAACGACGGCGGCGTTTCCGAAGATGAAGTCGACAGTGCCGGTGACGGTGGAATCCCTGTAAAATTGGCGGTGTGAGTGAGTGTAGAGAGTGTCTTGGTAAGCGTCAATACGACACCGGTTTATGACGGACTTGTCGGCGCTGACTCGGAGCGCCACCGCTTGGTGCTTTTGTGGGCCCGCCGTGTTTTGGAACCACATATCTTGTGCTATGAATCCATCGCCATTAACAGCTGAACAGTTGGATTACGCAAATTATGATTTACATAAGGCAATCACCAAACTTTTTTTTCTCACAAAATAAGAACACACAAAAACCGTGACTAGATTGAAGGTAACGCATAATTTATAAGTGGAGCCCACGAAATGATTTTATCTGAACTATTATTGACGGAAAAGAAACTTGTGGACACATAACACTGAATATGTTTTTCATTCTTAACTTCTAGAGAATGCAATGAATATGTTTGTTTGAGTTAATGAGATCCGGTAACGTTTTCATGTTAATCTGGATCTAATAAGCTCCAGAGGGAACAAATAATAGTTAATAGAAAGAAAAAAAAAATCTAATTAAGATATATATATCATTTACCTACGGTTGCAGATTTGTAAGTAGTTGATCCGTCATCAACATTGAGACTAGCAGTGATTATAGTGTAATCCATGCCATCCCCAAGAAGCATCACATTCTTTTTGTTCTTTGCCAACTCAACATTCTCATAGTAAACCCCCGTCGTCACATAAATAACGAACCTTTTCTTGCTATTCTTGGGTACTGCAGCCACAGCTTCATTCACGGTTGTGTAGTCTCCGCTTCCGTCCTTTGCCACAACAATATCAGGCGTAATTTCCTTCTCCAAAGACCGCAAAAGCCTCCGATCTCCGGGGGTAACCCACGTCGGGAAATCCTTGGTCAATGGCTCAAGTGCTTCGCATTTCGACTGCGAGAACGAAACAAGAATGGCCAAGGAGGTTCTAGCCCCTGATATCAACTCATTTAGATGAGACTCCATCAAGTTCTTGGCATATGAACCGTCCTCTAGGCCATCTAAACAAGTCACGTGGTTACTGAGAATGCCACTAAGCCATGCATTCACGTCTTCACGTGAGTGAGTCGTCAGATTTTGAAGCAAAAGTGTTGATATGGAATCCAAAACCCTATCTTTGGAAAGGTCCATCAGCTCCGCACAGTCAAGGAGAGCCGCTCGATCCCTCGGACTAATGTTGATCCGACGGCTGACATTGTTTACCATCTCAAGAGCTAGTTGTATGCGAGGGTTGGTTTTTTCTAGGAAGGCTTTGAGTAGCTCATGATCAGCCATGGTTGAATATTCTTGTGCTGCTTCCGAGACCATGGCCAAACATGATTCTTTGTTGACCGATTGATCACAAATATTGTTGTGTAATGACGATTTTGGAGGACTAGGAAGCAAGATCGTTTTGGTAGAATATTGGATAGCAAAGAAACATATGCTTGTAAGAGCAGCAATGGAGATGAGAAGCAGAAAAAAACTCTTAGAGTAGGAAGGTTTGGAGGTTTCAAGAAAAGGCTGATTGATCGCCATGATTGACGGTGGCTGAGAGATTTCTGTATGGCAAAGTTGTGAAGTGTGTGACAAATGCTTAAACGAGACCAATTGGGACCAAAATAGGAGACATTAGTAGTGGTCCTACACTTAAGGTTGAGCCCGGATATATCAATTGGTGCGGGTAACTTTTTCTTTTTTTTTTCTGGAGAACATGTTTATCATTTAAAATATGTGTAAAATAATTGACTAAAATTTGGTAGATTAAGAATAATGTAATAAGAATGTGGAAATATAAATATTAATTATTGGAATATCATCACCAAAACAAATTCATAAAAACCCGGTGTGGGTTCCTTTTTTATGTGGTTAATTATATAATCATATAAACTAATCCCTTAAAACATAATTTGTTGTCTTACTTTTTCCGTTCTTTTTTGTTTCTGAAAGGTTGTCTTACTTTTTTTCTTTTTTTTGAAAGCCGTTGTTCTTTATTATTTTTGCTGTCTGGTTAGATGATTGATCGATTAGTAGGTAGCTGAATTGCTACGCATGACGTACACTACACGTGAGCTCAAGTTAACCAGAAACTAAATTTAAAATATCAGCGACCTCGACCTCGAGGTTGTGGTACAGTCCATGAAATACGGAGATATACGATGGAAATCACAAGGTAGTGAGATTCCATGTAACGCGATGGAGAATTTAATAGGAATGGGATATCGTTTAAAGGGGGTCGTGGTACTTTGTTCGAAGGGAGATTGTTAGAAGTACGAACAAAATCTCATATTGGCAACAATAGGAGCTAGGATGGATTTATAAGGAGTGGGTATTCCATTCATTAGGTTAATTTTTTGAGTTAGAACTCTAATTTCTTATGGTGGAACCCATGATTCTAACAAAATTTATAGGTTGAAAATTTATAGCCTTTCCTGAATGAACACTTTTCCAAGTTGATTTAAGTTTTAGCAACAAACGGCAATTTCTCAAGTGTCACGTTGAATAAATAGGAACCCCTAGTTAAGAAAGGAAATATCCCCCGGCGCGTTAGCGCCCAAAACACAAAGATGGTCACTCTTTTTAGGAACAAGACTCGTTCAGTCACTTCACTCGCAGCTTGTAGGCACGTTCATTCACTTGCTCATGAACTCGCAGCTTTACCAGAAGCGACTATTCGCCTCCTTTCCTCCGGGCCGGTGTGTGGAGAACGGAACGGGTTAAGCATCTTACTTCTATATACTACAGAAAACTATAGTCATCTCAGGAAAACCACGGACGATCTACACACACACACACATATATGCATACATACATAAATATACATATATATATATATGGAAAACCTAATAAGACCATTAATCAGGAAAAAGTTCTACAAAAGCAAGGTTAAAAGGCTGTGTAGGTTCAATACCAACCCAAAAATGGAGAGAAACACAAAAAAATCCTTCTTAGCAATTGAATGAGCCACATCTGTATAAGTACAACGAGGAGAAAACATAACCCAACCATACCTTCGCGACCACTTGTTTGAGAAGTAGTCCCTCTCCTCGATTTCGAGGACTTGTCACCATATATAGATCTCCCCGCACAAGGGACCATCACCACTAATCGTGATCTCCCCTGCATGAGGTTGCACAATTGCTCTGCCATGGTCACTAGCTGGACAACACAATTGGGGACGCCAAGCACGGGTCGTCATGGCAGAGACTCCTTAGCCACTATGTTTTTCCTCACACCCCCTCATGTGATGTAATTTCGTTTTTTTTTTTATTTTTTTATTTTTAGGAATTTTCGATGAGGAAATTAGTGCTAGTACAATAGGCTACCACCGAAGGTTAGAATTTTCAATTTCCCGACGGATTAACTTTAGTATCATGGGAGGATAGTATCAGTCAATGTGGGCTACCTACTATCAGTATGTTAGTATGATACTGCTGATAGGGCAATTGTATTTTAAATTTTTGTTGTGGATTTTCTGTAATTTTTTTTTCTAGGGAAAAAGATCAATCTAAAAATTGTTGTCTTGATATTTTTGTGTAAAGCATTCAAACAAGGGCCGACCTTAACCCTTCAAGGACCAAGGTTAGGGTCAAGGCTGAAACTTTTGTCATGAATCATATTAATCTGGCCTTCACATGGCTATTTTTATTGGTGACTCAATCGTTTAAACATCTCTAGGAAATAGAAAATGTAAAGGGAAATTAGATCGTGTCTAAACTCAAAGAAAAAATTTGTAAAATGAATTTAATTTTTTTTTAATTTTCTGTATTTTTTTTTTAGGGAAAATGTCAATCTAAATATTGTTGTCTTGACATGTTTGTGTAAAGCATTCAAACAAGGGCCGACCTTTAACCCTTTAAGGACCAAGGGCTAGGGTAAAGGCTGAACCTTTTGTAATGAATCATATTGGTCTGGCCTTAACATGGTTTAGTGCTGAAAATTTGGACCGGGCTAGACGGGCCGGCCCGAAGCCCGTTACTGTGAGCCCGGGGACTAGTCCGGCCCAGCCTGAATCCATACAAGCCCGAGCCCGGCCCGGCCCTAGTGTAGGGCCGGGCTGGGCCGTAATTCCAGGCCCTCAGAAAAGCCGACGGGCTCAAGTGGTTCAACATCATCAGCGACAACAAAACATACGAGACAACGTGCAGAATGTTGGAAATACTTCACTACACAAGAGAAAATTGACGCTGGAGGTAAGAAAATAAAATTAGCTACATGTATATATTGTAAAAAAGTTTTGACTGCAAATTCTATAAGTGGAACTCGACACTTGAGAGATCACGGAGTTAAATGCGCTAGACTACATCAAACCAAGACGGAGCCTACACAAACTCACTTCAATTAAACCCGGATGGTTCGGTAAGTACTTGGTCCTATAATCCTCAAGTTGCTAGGGAATCTTTATGTCGATTTATTTCTGCTTTAGATTTACCTATTAACCTTGGTGATAACCAACAGTATGAAGCGCATATCAACGTGCATATTGTCCTCAATTTCAAAAAGTTTCTAGAACTACTACTAGGAGTGATATGATTGCATACTATGAGAAAATGCGTCTTGCATTAATAGCTTAAATGGGTGCATTAAAATTTTCAATTGCATTAACCTCTGATTTGGAGTGGTAGGGCGAATCAAGATTATTTGAGCGTAGTTGCACATTATTTAGACTCTAAATGGAATATGCAAAAAAAGAATTATTGGTTTTAGACTTATTGATTGTTCACATAATACTAACAATATTGTTGAGAAACTTGTTAGTGTTATTCAAGATTTTAGTATACGAGACCGCATTATCTCTATCACCTTAGATAATGCTACAGCTAATGCAAGGGCAATATCAATGTTGGAGGGACTTATAAACTCGTATAGTGGTGGAGTTTTACTTCATCAAAGGTGTGCATGCCATATAATTAACCTCATTATCAAATCAGGTACGCGTATGGTAAGTTCTACAATTGATAATATTCGAAATGCCATTTCTTAGATTCATAATTTAAATTCCCGCATTGCTAAGTTTAAGAGATATTGTAAAGCAGAATGTATGAAGCCTAGAAAGTTTGGTCTTGACATGCCTGTTAGGTGGAATTCAACATATATGATGTTGAAGAGTACTTTGTCATATAAAAATATTATCACTATTTTTTTCAATACAAAAATGGGCAAAACAATGTTGCAGGAAGATGACTGGTTTATTTGCGAACGATTTGTGTCTTTTTTGGAGAGTTTTTATGATTCTACTGTTTTATTATATGGTATTTATTATCCTACTTCTCCATTAGTGTTGCATCAAATTTGTGAGATTATAGACTTATTTGAAACGTATAGAAATGATATGTTATTTAAACCGATAGTAGAAAAAATGGAAGCAAAGTTTAGGAAATATTGGTATGAAATTCCTCTGTTGTATTGTTTAGCTATTATTTTGGATCCTAGAGAAGAATTCTCCGGTCTTGGAAATGGTCTGTCTCATATCGGTGGCCAGTTGGACATAGATTATACTTCACAGGTTGTTAACACACGTGAGAAGTTGTTTGAGATTTATGCAATTTACGAGAACAAGTTCGGTAACTTGACAACTCAACAAACGTAACAAGATCAGCGGCCCGCTCAAAAAAGAAGTTCTGGAATTTTATATCTTCCCATCGTGGTGGCTCTAGTTCATCATCAACTGCGACTCCAAGTGTCATGCCACCACCATCAACACCAACGATGACACAATATAGGGAGCTCAACAAATACCTTGAGACAGAATTCTCGGTGATAGATGGTGCTGATAATGATGACAATTTCTAAATTTTGGCATGGTGGAGGCTACAATGTGTAAGATTTCTAGTACTTTCAATATTAGCATGTGATATCTTGATTATTCCAGTATCAACGGTGTCTTCAGAATTTGCCTTTAGCAAAGCTGGGAGGATAATTGAAGAAAGAAGGACTTCGTTGACTCTAGAAATGGTTGAGGTGCTAATATGTCTAAAAGATTGGAAAAATGCTTCTTTACGAATGCAACACACAGCCGAAGACAGAGATTTAATGGATCAATTTTAAAACTTATACATTGACGATGACGCTTCTGATGCCAGGAGTAATGTAGCAGGCAGTTAGATATTTTTGTTTCTTAAGTATAGATAAATTGTAACTGTGAAAATAATACTGCACTCTTTTTTCCTTACCAAGGTTTTATCCTAATGGGTTTTTCTTGGTAAGGTTTTTAATGAGGCGGTTATAATTACATAAATAAAGTCTTATTCCATTAAAATTTTACAATATTCACTATTTATTATAAATTTTATTTTCTTTTAATTTTTATAAATCATGCTTAGGCCGGCCCGGCCCACAATAGCCCAGCCCGGCGGGCCTTAGGGCCGGGTTGGGCCTATATAAAGTTATTTAGGGCCGGGACGGCCCGGCCCGATTAAAACTACAGGCCAAGCCGGCCTAACCCTAACTACCTTTTCGGCCGCCGGACCCGGGCCGGGCTGGGCCGAGTGGCCTAAATTTTCAGCTCTAACATGGCTATTTATTGGCGACTCTGTCATTTAAGCATCTCTAGGAGTTAGAAAATGTGAAGGAAAATTATAGTGTCTAAACTCAAAGAAAATTTTGTAAAATGAATTT